CTTTTATCATTTAGGTAGAAAAAGAATGAATATGGCAGCAGGCCAGTGTGGCTCAGTTGATTGAATGCTGTCCCATGTGCCAGGGGGTCGTTGGTTCAATTCCAGTCAGGGCACATACCCAGGTTTCGGGCTCAATCCCTGGGGGGCGGGGGGGGGGTGCAGGAGGCAGCCATTCACAGTTTCTCTCTCATCGATATTTCTCTGTCTCCCTCTCCCTTCCTCTCTCTATAAAATCAATAAGAACATTTTTTTAAAGAATGAACATGGTGGCCCTGACCGGTTTCACTCAGTGGATAGAGCATCGGCCTGCAGACCAAAGGGTCCCAGGTTCGATTCCGGTCAAGGGCATGTACCTTGGTTGCGGGCACATCCCAACTAGGGAGTGTGCAGGAGGCAGCTGATTGATGTTCCTCTCTCATCAATGTTTCTAACTCTCTATCCCTCTCCTTTCCTCTCTGTAAAAAATCAATAAAATATATATATTTTAAAAAAGAATGAACATGGCAATTATAGATCTGCTTCACCATATGTTTGAAGCAAGTCAATTTATTTCACAAAATAATATTTAACATCTGTCTAAGAATATTGCCCTGCTATGAACAGATGAGTCATATCCCTTTTTAACATTTTCATTTTATGGCCAAGGGGGGAAAGGGGCAGAAAAGACAATGTTTTCTTGTTTACAAGAACTATCTACAGTAAAATGGCATTTCCAAGATTCTTTTTTTACCCTATTTAAAATATTTCCTCACATTTTGTTTATTAAGCTATCATTTGTTAATATATAGTTTTTAAAATTTTTTGAAAGAATATATGCTTAAATAAAAGGGAATAGCTAAAAAATGTCTTCACCTTTCAGAAAAGTCAATGAATTTTACAAAAAGTAAACAGCAGTGGGGAATAAGAACATCTCTGTCAACATCAGCGCCAAAACTTAAAATCAAAGAGAATTATCACTTTGCTCTACATTAAAGCACCATTTATTCTGGAATACCTCATGCTAATCGGTGTTTTTGGAAGGGAATGATTTTTGTGGCTTTTCATCTAAGCAACGAAAACAGTGATAATGGACATCTTCCAGCTGCATACCTTCACGACAGCCAATAGGTTTTATTTGGATTAAGAAATGCAATTGTTTTTAGAAGTTGAGGGAGAGGAAAGTAACACTGACATGTATACTTTTATGCCATCAAATTTGGAACTTGAGTTTGCACTACATTTCCAGTTTAAAAAAAACAGCAAAAATAAACGATGGACTCTAGTCTTACCAGAGCTTAATTTTCTCACCAATAGGACCTAAAGGTGATTTATAACTTGCAATTAGTTGAAATAAAAGTAACCAAAAAAATGAAAATTGGATGCCAAATCTAATAGTATCCTCACACAGAATCTTCATGAAGGCCTGTGTATTTTTTAATCATACTAATGCGACTTATCAGTGTAACAATGTCTAATGATGTCTAAAACTAAACTTATTAATGTCTGTCACAGTATATTTATAATCACAGAAATATGTTTTTTACCTACTAATCACTACCATTAATAGACAAATGGTGTCTCATGGTTAGCAAAATAAAATGCTTATTTATCAGGAAGAAATCATTAAGCCATTCTAAGGAGAGTTCAGATAATTTCTTCAGACTCAGAATGTCTACTAAAATATGTGATCATGCACCATCTGTTACTACAGAATTTTAAGTGCTTGCAAAACCCCTAACTACAGTACGACAAAGCCATCCTCTTAGGTTAGGCTGATTAATACCCACTTTTTGTCAAAACTACTTCAAATCAGGCAAAAAAAGGGGGGCGGGGGGAAAGGGAGAATACCCAATTCTTTCCTGGTGTTTTCCTTTATCCTAATGAATTATGACACGCCTTTCTTAAGTCCTGAGGATTTATACACTGATCAACTACGCCGTTTATCTTCTTCCCTAGAGTGAGACATTCTCTGCAGGATCTAAGTACATCCTTTGGGGGACTTCAATATTAATAACTTTGTCCCATTCACTTTTTTTAAAAAATATATTTTTATTGATTTTTTTACAGAGAGAAAGGGAGAGAGATAGAGAGTTAGAAACATTGATGAGAGAGAAACATCGATCAGCTGCCTCCTGCACATCTCCTACTGGGGATGTGCCCGCAACCCAGGCACATGCCCTTGACCGGAATCGAACCCGGGACCTTTCAGTCCGCAGGCCGACGCTCCATCCACTGAGCCAAACCGGTTTCGGCGTCCCATTCACTTTTAAATGGGATAACTTTTTGGAGGGTTATCCGTGTGATCCAATTACACTTTGCAAACCTTTGTTTTTTAATCTTTTATCCTCTTCGTCATACACATACATGCACATAGTGTGAACACACGTGTGCACATAGCGTGAGCACACGTGTGCATACACACGCAGGGTCGGGCCCCACAGTCCTCCAGAGTCTGGAGTTCAGCCTGTTCTTCCAGCATGGGGCACAGCTGGGTCTGGGTAATCCCTGATCCCAAGGATTCAAGCCAACTCAGATTCGAATCTGGAGGTTTGGGGCTATCCCCAGGCCTCCCTATGGACATACTTGGGCTCTTGTTACCTGCCAGCTATTAAAATCCCAGCTGGGTGGAGTGGGGTAGGAAGTATAATTACAACCCCCACCTCTCAGAGGAGGGAGAACAAGATCAGAATGAACTGGCCCAGGTTGCATCTCTGAGGATGGCTTTTGTACTCCAAAAGTCAATGTTTCATGCAAAATAAATAAATAAATAAATAAATAATCTGTTTTTGACAAATGTTAAGTAATTTTTCATTTTAAAGTCATTTCACCATACTATCTCTTTTCCTCACAGATATTACAGCAGATTTTTAAAAAGAGAACAGTTTTCTCTGTTTCATCTCCCTCACCCTCTTTTTTTTCCTGGTGTGTGTGGCAGCTGCTGTTTGATCTGTTCATTGGCTCTGATTTGTTTCATGTTTCAGCCAAAGATGAAAACTACTCTGTAATTCTAAGCAGATGGGCCCAGGAGTGCAACCCTATAATTATACCTTCCCTCTTTGGCCCGCGAATTGCAAGCCTTCCATCCTGACTTTTAAAGTCTGGGAATCACTAGAGTTCAGAAGACACCTTGGCAATCAAGCAGGTCTGGCCCAGCCCAACCTGTTTGCAAGGCCTGTGGAGCTCCACTGCCCACGCACCCTGCCCAAAGCAGGACTACAGAAAAATGAAACAAAACAAAACACAGCCAGGCACAGCCTGCAGGTGAACCATCTAGGTCTTCTAGTGTGGGCACAGCCTGCTGGGCAGCGCTCCCTACAATGCGTTCTGCAGCTCCATCCGCTGTGGGTCCCACTCAGAAATGCCCTGTCCTGGAGGGTGCGGATGTGAGCTGCGGAGGTTTGGGTGGTCCTGGTAGGTACTGGGGACGGGGAGCCGCGCTCCTGGTGGAGACGCTGGACTGAACAGTCAGGTGTCCCCTTTGAGGAAAGTTGGCTCAGGACATCTGAATCAGCCGCCGCTGCCTGTCCTGATGGTCAACACCATTCTAGCACAAAATCTGCCTTGGCGACTCCCAGGCAATCGTGTTCTTTTTCTCAGAGCAATTCCTGGAACGCTTTTAAGGCGCTGATGATCTCCGGGTAAGAGTTTACTAAAGCTCCTGAGAAAAAGGTGGCACATGAAGCACAGACACAAAACGATCAAGCCAGGGCACCAGGGAAAAAGGGAGTCAGGTTCCGGGGAACTTACGAGACTGGTTTCCAGGATCACAGCTTGGCTATCAGAAGTGCCCTGCGCCTGGAGGCTGCGTCCAGTCTACTTGGGAGAGAACCCCATGGCCACCCTTTCAAAAAAACACGAGTCCTAGCAAGGGGCCCAGAAACACCGCGCGCGAGCTGTTTTCCTGCTTAAATAACCCGTTTCTCTTTACAGTCCCATAAAAGCGTGGGCCCCATCCAGAGCCCCTCCGGCACTGACACTTCGGGAACGAGATCGCTGAGCCTGCGGTTTGGTGACATCTACAGCTTGAAAATCCAACAGTGGATGAAAGTTTCCCCCAGGACTTGGGGCAACCGCTTCAGGAGATGAAAGTTCCGTGTGGGAGGCTTTGCGCCCTTCCAGAAAGAACGCTCCAGCCGCCCGGGGCTCTGGGCGCTGCCAGCGGAGAGGGGCGCGCAGCCTAGAAACCGGGGTGAGGAGGGAGCGGGGCTGCGCTTGGCTGGCGCGGGGACGGGGAGCTGCCGCGATGC